CCTCCCAGGCACTCTCATGCTTCTGCAAGTGCTTGTGTCTGGAGGGAGCCGTTCTGCTGGGGAAATAAATTCTGTGCGTGGGGAGGGAGCGGGTGTTGCCTTTTCTGGCCAAGTAGCTCAGAGAGGGAACGCTGCTCATAGGTGCAGTGGTCACCTCTTAACCAGAGGCACAGCTCGGGCTCACTCTCCTCTGACAGCCAACGGAGGAGGGAGAGCTTCCAAAAGTAACCTGCCAGCTCCAGGTTGTTACCCTGCTCCAAAAATAAACCATTCAGAGTGTGATGCGATGGCTTCGTTGCGAAATGCATTAGTAGCTCTCCTGAGGAGCATGACAGGTTTGCATTCATCGTCTCTGAGCAGAGACTGGCCTGTTCTCACTCACTCCGCAGATGCGTGTTCGGTGTCAGTGACCAAACTGGGATTTTCTTGGCTGTCGTATCCTGATATAGCAGTTCTTGTGCCACTCTGCGTGTGGATCTGTTCGCTCCTGCGAAGCTACAGTTGTTCAAAGTCTCTCTCCCAGGGAGATCTGAGCTCTGTGAGAACTCTGGTAAAGATAAGCTCAAACGCTAAATTCAGCTGGGAATTGTCTTGGAGGCAAAAGTAGAGTGCACGTGCTGGAACACAGCGTTCCCGTTAGCTGCACCTCTGGACTAAATGCGTTTCTGTCTAGTTTGTGAAAAGGAGTCGCATCCTGCTGTCTCCTGGTGAGTTGGAGGGCGGCCCCTGGGAGCAGCGCTCCTAGATTTTAAAGATTTACCATATACTTTCTCTTCCTTTCTCAGTCTCATCCAGTGGTTTGACACAGCACCAAGCCGGACTTGCCCACAGTGCAGAATCCAGGTAAAACCATCACCTCCGTACATCTCTGTATTTCTGTGACGTGATGCTCTGCTACACAGCACCATGATCTGGGCCTGTGGTATGAAGCAGAGAAAACTTAGAGAGCTGACTTCCCTCAGCCACCCCTCTGATCAGACCCTTCTCTAGGAAGCATCTCTGGGTTTTTTTGCCTTTTATTTAGACTGAGTAAGTATTGGCATAGTGATAGAAAGGGCTGGAAGGGGCTAATCAGGACCTCAGAGTTGCATTTCTAGAGTACCCTGCTGCTCCCCATCAGGTACGCAGCTGGTTCTGCTGCACATGGTCATTACAATCAAGTCCTTGCTTTGCAATGCTTGGCCCTCGGCTGGGAAAAGCAAAGGCTGGGGTGGAAGGAAGGATGTGCTCTGCTTCTGAGATGTGAAGCCAAGGCTTGGGGAATCAGTGGCTTAGCTAGGACCTGAACTACTTTGAAGTCCCTTGTGTCACCAGCCTTGTTGCTGCCGGTAGATCTTGGCATGTAGCGGCTGCAGGAGCTGTTGCCTCGCGTTCAGGTGCAGGGTTTTACCCAGATGCAGCTTGGGCTTGTTCTGTGTTCGTGCTTCTTTCTTCCTCTCAAGGTCTTGGCCCTTGTTCCTTCCTTGACTTGTTGATTCCCTCTGTTCTTTTCTGCCTCTTACATCTCTGGGTTACCATGGAGTTATCGCGAAATAACATCTTATGTAGCAGTAACTATGCAATTAGCTGGTGTCATGACTGTATATAATACTTAAAACACAAAGCTGTAACTGCATGGGGGAGGTGTGGAGAGCTATCAAATTCAATTACAGCACCTTCTGCCTGCAGAAAGCAGCACGTACTTCTGTCTTAGGATTTGGCATCGTGTTAGCTCAGCGTCAGCTGCTTGGGCCTTAGCTGCCAGAGAACAGACTGCGCTTGATTCAGAAATGCCTGAATCTTTCTGGTGTGGCTCAGGAGCTTGGCTGGAGTCGTGCTCCCAAAACTGAGTTTGGGGGGAGGGCCTTGCTGCTGTGCTGATGAGCCAAAGCAGAGCATCGTCGCTAATGGCGTCGAGCACATGATCTGATTTGCCTTTCATGGCCTTGTCACGAGATGATACCTTCTCCTCCTCCACCTGTCTTCTATATCTGTCATGTTTCCATATTTGCGCCCATCAACCTCTTTTGTCTCCTGTGTTTAGGTCGGCAAAAGACACATCATCAGTAAGCTGTTTTTTGATGTTGCCCTGGAGGAGCAGACAGCACCGGATGCAGAGACTTTGCAGGTAATTTGACTGAGTGGTTCCTCTTTCGTGTGGTGCTTCAGCATCTTGAAAGTGTGTCGTGAGCTGCTGGTCCTCTGCCAACAACTGCCTCCCGAGCTGGTGCTCTCTGTGCTGTGCTCCTCTTTCAGACCCAGGACACATCAGTGTCTCCTGCCTGTCTGGTCCTCCTCTTGGTCCTTGCCAAGTCTCAGCTCTGTTGTAAAGAAATCTTCATGAGTTAGAGTTTCCCCTGACCAAATCCCATGTGATGATTTGGGAAGTCTCGTGTACTTCACTGCTCTTCCTTCTAGTTCTCGCCTTACCTGGAAACCTGAAGCAGCATCAAATAAACATCCAACTGCTGCTTCTCCCTTGTGTCTCAAAGCCTTGGGGATGAGGCTACAGAGCTTTGCCAAAAAGCAGGAGAAGGGAAATCCCAAATGCAAGGAACTGCTTCCAGTGCCTGCACCTTGGCTATGTGTGAGCCTGGCTAACCTCTGTGGGAAGAAGGGGCTGTTAGAGGAAGTGGCACCTCCTTGCTTCTGTGCAGGTAGGTTTGTCTGTACAGACTGTGAGGAAGTGGGCATTGGGGTGATAAAGTCTTGGATCTCCAGGAGAAATTAGGAAAGGAACTGCCTGAAGCTGCTTCAGCAGTGGTGGGCAGTGCTGAGGCTGGCTCCCTGCCAGAGGGGAGGGGGGAACCTGGCTGGAGTTGGGGTGCTGAGTGATGTTCTCCAGGTGCCACCCTAATGAGCTGGGGTGCGAAGGCATGAATTGCGGAGTGGCCGTTTGTGTTCTGTGTTCTCCTCCTTTATTTAGCATGGATGAAGCATGGCTCCTTATGTCCTGGAGTAATCTGTTCCAAAAAAAAAAAAGTAATTGGTTGACCTTGGTATAATGGGACGCTTGTACCCTCTTGTGTTTAGAATCAGCATGTGCAGCAATTACCATAATTAGCAGTTGCCATGACAATGCTATATGTATATCGTATGTTTTTAAAATAAAGCCAGATAGACTATAATGTCAGTAGCACTGTCATTCTCAAAGACCGGTGATAAAATAAAGGCTAAAGCATGTGTGCTGAGGAAATGAAAAAGCGTCTCTGGGCGCTTGGAGCTGTGTGCCCTAGAAGCAAAGCAGTGTCTCGGAGCAGATACGTGCTGCCTTTGGTGCATATTCAGATCTGTTCTCGCAAGTGAACTCGGAAATGGGTTGACTGGAGGAAGTTGCCCTAGAAAAGCTTTCTGTTTCCTCTCATCCCCACCCCAGGATCTAAGATGGGTTCCCCAGCCTTCCCCTCCAGGTAGGCTGTCCTGAAGAATTCCCTTGCTCAAGGGCAGGCCTGTGGAGCTGCTTCAGCAAGCTTGATGATGGTAACTCATCATGCTCCAACAAAGTTGTGGCCATCAGAGCAACATCTACCCCTGAGTGTGCGGCTTTCCTGATGTGAGCGCTGAGGCCACTATTGAATGACAAAGAACAAAATCTTTTCTGTGTAGATTGATGTAGCTAGTTTGTGTGGGTATCTACTGCCACATACAATGACTCAGGCCGCTGCTGGGCTGGTGTGGGTTTGTTACCAGTGCCATGGGGTGTGCTGCCTTGTTTCTGGAGGACACCGAGTACCTTAAGAACATGTGTGACTGTCATGGGTGGGATTTTGTGTCCATTTAGACTGGAGTTGTGTCTGCAGTGGGGTATAATTCAGGCTTAGGCAGCAGTTCAGCAAAGCAAATACATGATGGGCCATCAACCCACTTTATATTGGATATTAGGAAAAAATTCTTTCAGTAAAGAGGGGTGAAGCATTGGAACAGGCTCCCCAGGGAAGCAGTGGAGTCATCATCCCCGGAGATGTTCAAAACTCGTGTAGACGTGGCACTTCAGGACGCGGTTTAGTGATCTGGGTACTGTTGGGTTGATGGTTAGACTTGATAATCTTAGAGGTCTTTTGCAATTTTAGTGATTCTATGACTACCAGACTCTCCTGAGGCTGAGAAAAGAATTGGTAGCTTCCTCAGCCAGAAGTGGTGTCACCTGAAAAATCTCCAAAATCCAGGTTTTGTTGCCAGCTGCTGCTTGTCCCTCCAAGTGCCTGGCCGTTGAGTGGTACTTGGCTCTGTAATCAACTGGAGCTGTATCTGTGCGGCCCACAGATGTCCTGAAGCAAGCATTTGGCCTCCTGCCGCAGAAAGGTTGGGCTGGGGTGAGAAAATGTACTTCGATGTGCTAGAAAGCAGAGTGTATAGCTGTGATCCACTTGTTTTCTTGGGGATGTTCTTCTCAGAACCAGCCATATGCACCCTGTTATAAGTGGTTGGAAGAGCTCCCTCAACTCAAAACCTCTTCCTGTTGTTGCAGAATTATTCAGATTATTTTTTGCATTGTAATTGTCTCTGGTGCTATTCCTCGCTCTTGCTTCTGCTTCAAAATGACCCTTCAAAGGAGTGCCAGGGCTGCTTTGCTTCCCACCACTGGGCATCAGTTTCAACTGAAACGCGGGAGGGAGCTCGGTTCCTTGGAGTAGCTGCAGACCACAGACATATCCAAGCATTTTTGGGTGCTGAGCCTGGCTTTATCCTGTATTACTCTTAAAGATGGTCCTTGGTGATCAGAACAGTCACCATGTGGCTGTTCCCAGAGCAGAAAGTGTGAATTTTAGGGTGTAACACCTCGGTGAAGCTGTCTGGAACCCGATGCTTCCAGTTGCTCGGGAGATGGGAGCCCTTCTTCCAGAGGAGACCAAGAGACTTCGTCTTGTTCAGCTTGGTGAAAAGTAGGCAGGAGGATTCCCTGCCTGTAAACCTGCTGGGGAGGGTAGAAACCTGGGAGGACAGCTGTCTGTTTGTGGTCAGGATAAACTCATTTGATCTTGGGAAAATATGGTCTTATAACTCAGGCTGGCAGAGAGAGGAGAGCTGCTATGAGAGGACAGAAAATTTGGAGCAGCCTTTAGGAGCTGTGGTGGAGGACGAGGGATTTCAGATTAAGTTGATGGATGAGGTAATGTTACATAGCTGCCTGAAGTAGCCCAGGATTTCTTTGCTATCATGTTAATTAGCACATCTTGTGAGCTCACTAATCGTTCCTGAATAGGACTCAGAGGAAGCTACTTCAGAATAGTTCCTGCAGCAAAGTTAATTCTGTGTCAACCTTCCAGCTGTTGTTCCCCCAGGGACAAATCCAAGTCAGCTTTGCATTTAGTCCCTTCTGCTCACCCAGCTTTACATCCCATATTCTCTTTCCTGCCTTTATTGTCACTAGCAGAGCTTTACTGTGGTCTCGTCAGCTCTGTGGTCACTGGTAGTGCTATTCTCGGCTCAGATTTGCATCTAGCATTCCGGGTTGCACAGATTTGTGTGCTCTGCTTCAGTACTGTGTTGGCATTTTATTGTGGTTTTATTCCACTGCAGTTCCTGCCTGACTTATGTGCTTTCCTCTGCAGTTCTCTAACACAGCTTTTTAAGTCATTTTCTGTTGACTCTTTCCTGTTTATATTTCTCTCTCATTTTTTTGAATTTTGAGTTTAGTTTTTTTTAAATGTATTATAGATAGCTTTCCTTGTAACCTCTCTACATTTCCTTTGGCTACTTGCCAGTGTTCATAAGTTATACTGCTTCGTTATGTACAATTTAAATTTTGGGGTGTTTGCTCCCTCTCTCTGATCCTTAATGAAGACATTTCAGCTTCCCAGGAGCCTTGTAGCACCCAGGAAATGTTACACGCCCTCCATTTGATATGAACTGGTTTATTGACAATCTATTTATGGCCATTTGACTGAACTGTTAGCTCATATCAGCATCCCGAACTGCAGTGACTTCAGTGTCTGTCAGGATGCTCTTTGATTGTGTGCTTGGTTGCCTTTTCAGGCATTTTGGCCATGCCCTCCTGTTTTCCACCTGCACTCGATTTAAAGTTCGCTTCAGTTCAAAGCAACTCTCAATCCAGTTAGTCTGGCGACATCTCTGCCTTATTGCCTTGTTTAGGTAAAACATTATAAAAATTGTTCCTGTCTGATTTCCTGTGTTTCACTGAGAGCCTTCCAAAATTATTCAGCTAAAAGAAGATGACTGACAGTGTGAGAAACACAAGGTTGACAAGGCTAAGACAAAACTGGTATCTTCTCCCCCTGAAGAATGCCAGTTGGAGGTGCTGTTTGCATTCCCTGTGCTGGTACTTGGTGCCTGCTGTTACCAATTCCCTTCTTAGCATCTGGCTAGTGCAAATGTCCTGCCGAGAAACCTCTCGGCTCCTTTTAAGATTTGGTGAAAGCTTCTCTGCAGGGCGTTTCTTAATTGGGTTTTCTGTGTTGTGTTTCAGAATGAACTGGACAAGGTGAAGGCTCAGCTCTCTGTCAGAGGTGAGTTCCAGCTGCCCGCGGTCTGTGGGTCCTGGCTCTGTGTGTGCTACGTGGCTTGCCCCGGCCCGAGCAACCCCTATGCAGCATCCACCCTTCTCTGAAGTCCAGGACATGGTGCAGGCTGCAGACTGTTTTGCTGGAGCAGCTTCTTCTGAACTTTCTCTGAGGCGAGTCCACCTAAAGCTGTACAAAGCTTCTATGGCAGAACTAGAGTCCATAGCCTGGCTCAGCTCTGCTGTAACCAGGGAGCTCTCTGCGAGCTTAGAGGCATATATACAATTTTTATGCCCCTCTTCCTAATCACAAGCTATGGAGTTGCAGCACAGCTATATCTGGAGCAAGCTTGCTGAAAGCAAAATCTTGGGTTTGCTCACTGGGAAACTCACAACTGCATGTGGTGAAGGCTTGTTCCTTCTAACAGCTGAGGGGGTAAAAGTGGTGCCCAAGCAGCAGTGGGAAGGCTTTGGATTTGTTTGACTATTGCAGTGCCACATGTGTTGCGTGAAGAGCAGACGGAGTTCAGTGTGTGCGCACTTCCATTTTCCCGTCTTTAAATTTAGAGGATGTTTGAGGGAGGCAGGAAAAGCGAAAGCCCTGGAGACTTGTCGATAGGTTTTAAGCATCGTCTGTAGGCAGCCTGTCATCAGAACATGAGTCATGAGCAGCGAAAGGAAAATGTCAGTCTGAGTGACAGAAATCTGAAGACACACTAGCAGAAGGGGAAAAAAAAAATCCTTTAAAGAATGCTGGGGGCTCACCCACGCCCTGAGAGTCGTCTTTCCTCTGCCTTCCCTGTGTGCACGCGACAGACATGAATAGCCAGTAGATTGAGGATTCAGTCCTTAGCCTGAGAGCAGAACTGGGAGGTCTGCACGTCTCTATTCTGAGGCCTGTTCTCCTGCCAGCTTGCTTGAGTTTAGTGACTTGGTAGAGAGCCAGATCTTCTGGGGAAGGTAGCTGGGATTCTTGCTAGGATGTTATCCAAGAAAAACTGCTCGAAGGCCTGCTCATCTTCTCGGCTTCTGGTGAGTAGAGGTTGGATTTGACATTCCCTATCCCATTCTCTTTTAATATTGGAAATAAGGTCCTTCCCACCTCCTGCCTCTTTTGCTGTGGGCACTCTGCTCTCTGGTGGTTCTTGTGTATAAATTCTTCACTTAAAGATGTGCTGTGTGGCATAGAGGAGCTGTGTAATTACCAATCTCTGATCAGCTTGCAAATGGTTCTAGAGGTGGTGCTGAGCTCCCAGCAGACCCAGCAGGCACTGTGGGAGGCACTCTGAATGAGCTGGAAACTCATTCCTGCAGCACGGGGAGGTTTGACTCCTTCCATCTGCCTCTGGACAGCTGGGAACGGAGGAGGGGGAAGCCTGAACTCTTTTGGTGGGTGTGGAGTCTCTGCAAATGCAGGGGAGCATCTCCAGGCTGTGCTGCCTCTGGTGAGGAAAGGTTATTCAGATCAGTGGAGAAAAAAATGCTTTGCTAAGAAAGAAATGTGCTTCCCTAGCCACCTGCATGCTTCTGCTGGGATGTGTTCCTCTCTTCTTCCCCAGTCCCACGTGGGTCTCTTACTGCGTGAGCGAGCAGTGAAGCTGCACGGTAGGTCGTGCTTCCGTGGGATCTGGTGGCACAATTTGAAACTGGATTGCTTGCAAGGAGAAAAAGCTTTTGGAAAGTCACTGATTGGCTCAATGCTATGATCAGGCTGGAGCCACGGATGATTTTAGCAAAGACAGAAGTTGCTGAGCTGAAGCCTTTATACTGCTCTCAGCAGGGTTTGATGGAGGAGTTGCTGCTTTCCCTCATTACCCAACTGCTTCGAGCTTTCCAGTGATGCTGACTGTTCCCAGCTTGGATCTGTCAGCTCCTGATGGTGGTTGTTGCTTTGTGGGCTGTTTTCCCCTTGTCTTGACAAAACAAATTGAAATCTGGTGTTGCTTTCCACCACCTTCTGTCTGGTGGCCAGAGGCTTGTGCTTCGTTTCTGGATTGCCTGCATGGGGAGGGACAGCAGAACTCAAAGGTTTTTTGACCTGCAAAAAGTGGGTGCTCTGGGGAATCTATTTAAGCTGTTGCATGTCCTGTGAAGTCCTCAATGCCTAGCAGAGCTCTGCTTTCCTGTCTCTTGCCCTTTGATGTGGGTGCAGTGGTGAAGGCAGGTGCAGCAGCGTGGTGACGCAGCAGCGTGGTGGATCGCTGTATGTGTGCCGCACGCAGCTGCCCGACGGCCCCCGAAGGACTCCCTGGCACACAAGGCTTCGTGTGGAGAGAGAGGGTGGGCTCGGGGCTCGGCTCTCCAGCTCTGGAGAGAGAGGGTGGGCTCGGGGCTCGACTCTCCCGCTCTGCCACAGCTCGGTGTGACTCGAGGATTGTTTTCCCTGTGCTAGCCTGGCTGTGAGAGCATGCAAGAGTTAAGATGCATCAGCTTAATGCTAGCAGGGCTGGCACTGGAAAGCTATTAAAGGGAACTTGTTATCTTTAGTAAAGAAAATCTTGAAGCCTGCTGGCACTGGGAGAAGCAGTTGCTCAGTACAGACTCTGGTGCAGACAGCACTTAGGGAAATGGCTCTCCACGGGAACAGCCAGCTCCTAGCAGCCCAGAGCCTGAAACTGCAAGCCGTGTCTGTTTGTTGTGCTCCTGCTGCTGTGGGGCAGCTGAAGCCTGTGTTACCAGGTCATGACCTTTTTCCTTTTTTCCTTTTCCAGAGAAAGAAAAACGAGAATGCCAGGCTGTTGTGGATGGGCTGAGGGACACACTGGATGTGCGCAATGCCACAATAGAGTCACTACAGAAGGTGCTGGGAGAGACAGAGATGCTGTGTTCCTCTCTCAAGGTACCTTTCCCATCCCCAGCAGGACTTCAGCACTAACCTTTGCACAGTTGGTGATAGTTTTGTTGAAGATCTCCACAGCGCTGCTAATAAAGAGATCGTGCTGGTGGGATTTTGGTTCTCGTGCTGCGAGATGCCCGTCTACTTGATCTCTGAATGACAGGAGGGCAGTGGAGCTGGGTTTTCATTTTGCTTTTATTAATCTGAAGCGAGTGGTCTCAAGGTCTTGAGTGCACACCACCAGGGGGTGATTCAGAGGTGTAAAACCCAGGCCTGTGGCTCGTGTATGAGTGGCTGTGTGCTTGAGGCAGAGGTGGCCATGGAGGGGTAGAGATGCCAGCCCACTCTGGGGGCTGCTGGCTGAGCCTTGCTAACGAAGTGGCAGTGCTGATCATAACAGTAACAGCACGAACCGAGTGTGGGAACTGGCCCCAGCGCCCTGTTGCTGAAACACTGGCTCCCTGTGGTAGAATGTTCTTCTGAAATGGGTTTAGGCCAGGCAGGATTCAAGGAAAATTAGTTTCTTAGTTTGACTGGAGGAGAAATCAAACTGAAATATATGGTGGGGGAGTTGCAAGCTTCAGCTGAGTGGGATTTGATCCAGCTAACTCTCCCGTGTCTGTTCTTTTGCCAGGGCTTTATTTCAGTTAGGTTAGTAATGTGTGAAGTCCAGGGATCAGATATTCCTGTTGTGTTTTGGTGTGCAGTGACTCAGGGCATAGTCATGTACTGCGCGTAAACAGCCAAGTAGAAGAGTGTAAGAGCAGGAGCCGCTTTGCTGGGGTGCTTTTCAGTGAGCAGAGTGGCTTTGCCTTGGTGCTGGGCTGGGTTGTCTCTGCTCTGTGAGGATGATGTGCCCGTCACAAGGAGATGGGGTTCGGGCAGGTGGGGTTGTGAGCCACAGGCTGAAAGGCAGGGCTGGGCTCAACTGCACTTCCCAAGATCTCTGCCCCTTGGACTACAGGTCTGACCCAGTAACCTAAAGTGTTTCTCATTCCTTGATCTGCAAGTCCAAGTGGCCCAGGCAGAGCTTGTAGATGGGTTGTGGGGTTGTCTTGCTGTATTGCACCTGCAGCTGGGCTCTTCTGGAGAGGAACCAGTTCGGGAAGTCTGCCTGACACTGGCAATATGGTGTTGTCACAGGGCACAAGAAGAGAAATCATAAGGAGCTAATGTCAGACAGGCCTTACTGTGAGCCAGCACAACCTTTTTTTTCCTGACCATGGGATTATACCCAGTCCTGTGTGTAACAGCAGCCTGGATCTGTGCTATGCCAGAGATGCTACTGGGATCCCGGGTATACCAGTGGCAGGATACTTGTGATGCTCCCTACTCCTGCAGAAACAACTGTTACAGTGGAAGCCAGTGCTTGTTGCTTAACAAAACATCTCTCCGCTTGACTTTCTTGCCTTGGCACCTCAGGAGGCGGCTCAGTTGTTATCTTGCCTGTTGCAAAACCCTCTGTGTATGCTTAAGTCTTTCTAATGAAAGCTGGGCAGAGCAGAAGGATTAGGGACCTGGAGGTGTCTTTTCTGTGGTGTATGGAGTTTCCCAGCTGAATGCCAAGCACTGTCTCATACTGCATCACTAAAGATTAAACTTCTGCAATGAAAATACAGGCTTAACTAGCTGTGACGTAGGTCAAGCCCACAGGCTGCAAGACATTCCTGTCTTCTGCTGGCTCTGTCAGCTGCTGCTGAGCCTCTGCTGCCGTTTCAGGCTGAGGCTGGGGACTCGGCTCTGACCTGGCACAAACCACTGCTTTGGAGATCTGAAGTCTAGAGAGTTCTGGTTAGGAAGAGCCGAAGATGGGCTCTGCTTAAGCAAGAGTAACTCATGAGCATGCAACACTATCCCCTCTGCTACATTCCAGCAGTTTCACAGCTGTTTGGTCTCTGTGGCAGGAAGCAACGAAAATCCTTTAACTTCTGCATAGAAGGGAGCTTTACGAGATGATGGTCCTTGGCCAGGCCTCTCCCTGGAGTCAGTGCTGTGCTGAGACCAGACCCAGAGCCTTCTGAAGGTGCTGTGTGAGGTGCACAGGCACAAACACACCTGGACAACATGGACGTGTTGGAATGGTGCTAATTCAGGCTGGCTTTCCCCTATCCTCAGCCACACTGCAGATCTGTGCTTTTTCGGCTCAGCTGAGGTTCTCTCTTACTGCTGCCTGCTGCTGGAGAGCCTGGAAAGGTGATGGCTGCAATAGGCTTGCAGCCTTTCCAGGAAGGTGAGAGAAGTGCCTGGGTGGGTGTTTGGTTTGACTGAAGCCTCCCAGAAGA